TGCGGGTGAAGCCCCTTGCTGAAGCAAATATAATAATGCTCTACTTGTTTAAGTTGAATATCGGTATATAGACACAATAGAAAATGCATTGTATCTCGCGTGGATCCGCGTTTAGGCTCACGACGGGTTAATACGTATGGTAAATAAAGTAACGTTTCCTTGAAGGGATAAGCAGAGACGCACATATTAGAATACAATATGACACCCACTCTTCACCTGATGTGTATGACCTGAAGGGATGGCTTTGTAACGCACAACGTAACCGGAGAAATGGGATGATGACAGGATATGAAAATTAAAAATATAATTAGTCCGTAAGTTAGGTAATGAAAAAATATTAGACACGTATTTTTCTTATTTTGTCGTATAACAAAACAATACTTAGATAAAACGAATCAAAGTTCAGGAGTGGACTACAACGTTATTTCTACGTATAAAATGTACATAGAAGTGACGTCACGCGACATTTCAAATCAATATATCGTCGAAAGTATTCGTTTCTGAAAGAAAATAAAAAATACGTGTCTAATAATTTAACATAATGTACCAGATGGATATTAAAATAAAAATTAGGCATCTACCAAGGCCCAATTACCCTCCCTACCCCAATCTCCCCAATTCCTGAATCCCCAACGATCCTCAAACTCCTAATCCCCAAAAGGCCGGTAACGCACTAGTCGTTACTAGATTGTATCTCGCGTGGATCCGCCTGTCCTTAACACCTGGAACACCAGAGGCGTTCCTCTGGTGTTCCAGGTGTTAAACTGTTAATGGGCGACGCCGATTGCTTACCCATCAGGTGATCCGTCTACTCGTTTACCGGATTATGCTATAAAAAAATCTATCCTAATGTGTAGCAAGTGACTAATAACTTTAAATGCTATCCGATGTACTAAAATGAAACACTAAGATACGGACAATACAAGAACAAGACTATATTACCAAACTAAAACTAAAAAGAGGTTGTTAAATAAATAAGAACGCTGTTTATCATAACATCAAGTTTGTGGGGCTTAAGTCTGAATACTGAAAGGCTACTCAATTCTAGATTGTACTTAAATATCGTTCCATCTCTGTCATTTGACAAAGAATTTGTAGTGACATTATCGCGAATTAAAATTAATTGACGTTTAAGTATTTAAGCGTTAGTTTCACACAGCCAAAACTATCAAATCACAAGGATATTGTACGTTAAGTTCATATCAGATACAACTCGAATCCGTGACAAAGAGATAAATCGCGCAACAATAGCAACTGAAAAATACGGTTCCTGAGATCAAAGTGGACGAAGCACTGAAAATGACAGTGATGTACGTAACAACAAATATTTCGTTGTTCCTATTCCAATACATGCAACTACATTGGAACGAAATATTCCGTTGCAGCAGGTGATTCAAATTCCAATACATTTTCCAATTTTCCACATATTTCGAGTTGGATTTTTAGCCCTCACAATACTTTCTTATCTCTAGTGCAAAAAGCCTCGACGCCAACACTCCGAACTGTTTGATTTGAAATGTAAATATTGGACCTGAACACTTGTGTCAAACACACGACTTAAAATAACATGTAATCCGAAAACCCATCTTTATTTCGCTTCTATGTGTATTCAATACTGTTGATAGATGTATCTAGTTGATTTTTAAAAAACTTTAGGATAAATTGCTGACTTTTGCAAAATAAATTGGTATTTTAAACTAACTTCAAAAAAATCTTGGTATTTATGTATGTATATTTTGTTCGTTTGTTTGAGCGCAATTGTCTCGCGATTGGCTGAACAGATTTCATATTTGGTTTTCAGAAAGGTATCTGTTAACTTAGGAGAAGGTTTCAGTATATTAAGTAACCGACTTCAAAAAAAGAGAGTTTGTTTAAACGTCGTTTGTAAAAGAATTGTTAACTTATGACATTTGTATTTTGTCAATTGTAATCAAATGTTGGTAAATCATACTAAATAATAGGTAAATAAATAAATAAACTTCTAAAAGTAATAAATGGGTATTGCAAAATCAACACAAGCAACATTAATTCTTTAAACATCAAAATGTTTCGTAGTAAAGATATTGGTTAAAGACTATTAAACGATAGTACCTATCTACTTTTATTCTAATGGATTTACAAAGTTTATATTTTTATAACTAACAATGAAGATATTCGAAACAAAACCAACCAATTAATTCATAATTATGACGCAAACTTTGACAGCTGGTTGAAATGTGCGACTGGCTTTGTTCCCCTTTATGTGTCGGTGAAGGGGCCTGTCAGACTCGCACAGACTTGCCGAGGGAGCTTGTTCACTCAATCATTCCCCCGATCCCTCCACAGACACGTACGAGTATCTACTAATCTACAAAAAGTTGTTTTTGTGTTTCGAAGACTCTTCGATAGGTTTGAAATGTATGGGAGCTGTAGAGATGTATTAATTTTTTAGTACGGTATCTACTGAGACCCCAAAACGACTTTATTACTGAAATCTTTTCATCTGTGATTGGTGAATACTTGACGTGCACATAAAGTGTGTCCTTTTGAAATGGAAATTTTTCCTTAAACAAACAGAAAACAAATTTTTTTTGGTGGCCTTCGTGTATATATGTTTTTTTAATAAGAATCACTTTGACCCCACTGGGATTTTCTCCTGTGTCGTCGGTGCGTTTACAAACATACAAGTTCACATACACATGGCACCCAGACCCGGAACAACAATCTGTAGATCACAAAAAGAGTTGTAGTCGGTTGCCCAGCCAACACGCCAATCGTGCACTCAAAATCTAAACCCGCAGTTAGCCAGAATATTTATAAAATATCGCTAAGCAAAAGCTAAACTTAGATCCATATATATTTTTACATGCCTTCAAACTCCTTCCTCGAAAAGATAAACTATTAATAATTTCATAAACTTGTAAACTTCTTGAAGTGTTGCTAAGACCAAAAGTGGAACACGGATTGAACTTTGCTGTCGAATGTACCGAAGTGGAGTAACTTCACGACAAACTAGAAGTTAGTTTATCAGATGTTTTGAACCTTCTGTGCTAATTAAAAGCTTACCAAGTCGAGAAGGTTTCATTTATCAAATGACCAATTAAAAATCCTTAAGAAACGTAATTGAGTCTAAGCATTTCTTGTTTTTGTTAACATTTTTCCGCTCATTGAAAATGAAATTGCATATTTAGAGCCAGCGAGCAGCCGGAATTTATAAAATGATTCATAATTTAATGTTGAATGCTATTTGAATTTATAAAATTATACCGTTTAGCTTATGAAAATGTGGCTGTAGAATAATTCGTAGTAGGGCGCAAAATAATTCCTGTATTTGATACTGGTGATTTTCTTCATAAATAGAGAAAACGGTGTCATTATCTATTTATGTATTCTAGTATATTTTGGCTAATTTATTCGTTTAAATAAACACAATTATTTAAATTTAAATGTGGGAGAGCCATGCTTTGGCACGAATGGGCCGGCTCGACCGGAGTAATACCACGGCCTCACAGAAAACCGACATGAAGCTACGCTTGCGTTGTGTTTCGTCGTGTGAGTGAAGTTACCGGAGGCCCAAATTACCCTCCCGTTCCCCAATATCCCCAATTCCTGAATCCCCAACGATCCTCAAACTCCTAATCCCCAAACGGCCGGTAACGCACTTGTAACGCCTCTGGTGTTCCAGGTGTCCATGAGCGACGCCGATTGCTCACCATCAGGTGATCCGTCTGATCGTTTACCGGCTCATGCCATGAAAAAATTACATGGAAATATACTTAAACATATTTTATACTTGTTTTTCAATAAGCAAGGTACAAGTAAATTGTAGTCTACGAGACGACAAGTTATTTGCATGTTTCCTTGGAAAACAGGTTACCTATTCCGCCAGTTCATTTGTGCAAATGACATAGAATCATAAATATAGTACAAGCTGTCTGAAGCCTTATTTATGATACGTACGCACTGAATATTCGATATTATTTGTTTGTAGTCTAGACAATATGTTACCTACATTAACATTGCCTATTTTCAGCTAGGGATTATAAATTAAGTACCGAATGAAAGTTAAAATCGATGAGAAATCAAAAATAGCATGTAGTTACTATAAATATTTGTTAATTTTATGTTTACTACACTACAAATGATACATCGTCCAACGTACCTGATAGGCAGGTCCATAAAGAATGTAATAAAATCCTGTTGTCACTGTCATATCATATTTCGAATACTCAATACACGGTCCACATAGTTGATTGTGTTATTAAAAAATGCGTATCCAATATTTTTCTCGCCTGATGAACAAAAAATGTGTATGATATAACTTATCATTTGCCATTAATTAAAATATTATCATAAACTAACCTATAACGTAACATCACGCCCTTTATCCCCGAAGCGATAGACAGGGGTGCACATTACACTTATTTCCACTGTACAATGTAACACTTTTCACTATTTACGTTATGAGTCCCATGTATGGGGTGAGCCTATTGCCATATACCGGCCACAATTCCAGACTCCGTGCTCCTACTGAGAATTATTATCTACTTACTTGTCTAATCATACTTTACACAGAGCAACTAATTTTGCCTGTAGGATATCTTACTGACGTTTATTTATTTTATTTATTTATTTATTTAAACTGTATTGCACATACACTGTGAAATTGGTGGACTTAATGCCGTAGGTATTCTCTGACAATCAACCATTGGGTGAAGACAAAGTATGAAGTAGATAACAGAAGTTAAGGTAATAAAATATTAAAGAGGCATGATTGTTATAATCAATAATACGTAACTAAGGAAAGATTAATAAATAGAACATATATTTATTATACAATTTATGATAAGTCCCTAATCTTATATAAACTGTAGCTCAATGTATGCCTTTTTACTTAAAGCCGAGGGTGATTGCAACGACGTATGACTAAAATATAAATTAGTGAACTGTATGCAGGTGTATTGTGGAAATGTTAGTAATCCACACAAACGGAGTAAATAATAAGAATATGTTGATTACAGGTGTAACAGCCGGCGGCGGCGGCTGGGAGCCCCTAGGGACCCCTTACTTCGACAACAGCACGAAGCGTGAAGCCACCGCCGCCGTGGGCCAGCCCGCCTACCTACACTGCAGAGTACGAAACCTGGCTGATAGAGCGGTAAGACAGCATATATTGAACCCTATTAGTGTCAAAAAAGAAAATAACATAGTTAAGAGAAACCGTAGCCAATTTTCATTTTCTCAATGCGTTTCCATGAGATCTTAAGGTTGGTTTTTGTAAGATATTTATTTTAAAATAAGGTATATGTTTAGTATAAGTATTTTGTTAGTATACTTTAAATTAAAATACTGCAGAGTATGAAATTTGGCTGGCATAGAGCGGTAAGGCAGCTTAGATTGAACCCTATTAGTGTCAGAAATTTGTGAAAAGAAATAATTTTGTGAAGAGAGGAGAAACATACCTACATTATCTGTAAGTTTCTTTAACAGATGCGTTTAGCTCACACCTCTTACGGCTCGTTTACGTCGAGCATCCGTAGTACATTGCTCATATCTTTGTGTTTACGCGAGCGATGACGCGGTCCACTGCGGCAATGTTTGACGAAAACCCAACACGCTGCGTCTCCGGAAATTAGACCCTAGTGATCAAACTAGATATACTATAATGATAGTCTGTTCTATAGATACTTTGTTAAAGATCTTGTAAAACATCATTTCATGCTGACCAACTTTTACAGTTGTTATAAAATGTTCCTGTATATTAAAACTAGTTGGCAGGTGGCGTCCTTTCATAGACGAAGACATAATTTAACTAAATAAATGTTCGCATTGATTTTCGTAAAAGCTTCTTCGAATCCATAGGCTTGTTCAGGGTTTCAAACTAAAAATTACTTCTTCATTAAATTCGAGTAGAAAACAAAAGCTGACTTATTGCCTATCAAGTAATTTAATTACAAGCATAATAAGATACTGAGATAGGTACAGTGAGGTTCCAAGAATTAATTTAAAACATTTTTATAAAAACAACTTTAGTCTGAATATCAGAGTATATACTAAAAAAAATTCATTAGGTTACAAGAAGCACAAAAGACCAAGAAAATCACTTCATTCTGAAACAAAATATTGACAAAATCACTTATGTTTTAAACTTCGTCACCAAAGTCGTTGGGGCGCAAACCTTAAGGACAAAATCCTAAAATGTACAAAATATTCGGATCGAAAAAGTTTATAATGAGGAAAAAGCCATATCTAAACAGTATTAAAGACTTCTCTTTACCCTTTCCGCTAATAATTATGAATACCTACGTTGTGTTTATGGTTTAAAAAGGTTTTAAACCTAGCAAGAAAGTATAAAATGTAGTTGCACTTATTGAAAACAATGAATTCAAGAAAGACAGAGTACGAGGAGTACAGAGTGCGAGGTCTGTCGACTATTTGGTCCTCAAAATGAGACTGTATAACGTGGGTATAACTCAATTAACTGAAAATCGCATGTTACTCACGTGAATATACTGAGAAAAGCTCTACTAGTTTTAAACCACAGAGGAGTTCTTCCTCATGAGAAGCGTGCGCGTCGCGGAGCAGTCTATTGGCTAGCGTTGGCGCTTGCATCGAGGTTGTTACTTGCGCTGCAAGCCCACCACGCCCTCTGCCGGACACCTCACGCATTTTCTTCCAACTCCGGCGCGTGTGACGATGTCGAAGCGCAAGCACTAGTAGACATTTTCTCAGTATGTTCACGTGTGTAACCCGCGATTTTTATTTAATTAGGTATAACTCTTTTTTACACGATGAAAAACGTAGGTATAAAAACATTCCTACAAAACTTAAATTAATTTATCTCTCGTACCCTTTAAAACCCTCTTCGCTACACACTATAGGTATAAGAACAACACAAATATAGCAGAAAATAGTTTTGTATTTTGTACGAGTATAAATTTAGTCGGTACCTATGTTAGTTTGATTTCATTATGCGAAGTGCTTTGTGAACAAATCCATAAAAGCGTTGGAACTGATGCGTGGAAATGATAAGCTAATGTGACACTTTTATGGTTCTTTATAGAGTGCTATGATATCACAGTTGTTATCAGATTAGAAGTATAGTGTAGACAGTTTAAATAATGTGTCATTTAAGTTTAGAGTTGCAAAACTGTCATTGTTTGTAGGGTTTGCATTAACTTTACTGAAGTGAAAGCCAAATAGATTTGAGCCATTCATTTTTTTGAATACCACGGCTTCAAAACGACAGAAATAGTTTTATAATTCATTATTTCACTTATTTATTGTTAGTTATATTATAATATTGAGCTTATTGTTAGACACCAGAAATCACTTTAGAATACGCATTTATTATCATATTCTTAAACCAATCCAAGACATGCGTGGGTTGGGTGAGCCATTCCTCATACCACGACTTCACAGAAAACCGACGTGAAACAACGCTTGCGGTGTGTTTCGTCGTATGAGTGCGGTTACCAGACGCCCGAATACCCCCTTTCCTCCCTAGTCCCCCAATCCCCAAATCCCCCACAATCCTCAAATTCCCAATTCCTAAATATCCGATAACGCAGTTGTAACACCTCTAGTGTTTCAGGTGTCCATGGGCGGTGCCGATTGCTTACCATCAGGTGATCCGTCTGCTGGTTCACCGGCTTATCCCATAAAAAAATTAACTGACAGTCACACCAGAGTCTCAACCATTCGGTCATACACGATAATAAAAATAAAACAACATTATTAAACGAGACAACCCGTCTCCAATAAGTAAACATTGCATCAATACCTCACATTCATTTTCCCAGAAGACTAGTACGGGAAACTTTAGCATAAAATTGTATATTCAAACCAAAAGGCTGCATAAACATCTCGATAGACATTAAAACTAAGAGGAAAGGATTTTATCCGCAAGTAGTTACCGCAAACGGTACTCCCCTGAGATGAAATAGATAGTATCCATCTTCGCTTACCTACTTCACAAGACGTTCGCATATTCCACTATGCATTTATTTAGATTTTCACTCGTATTCATTTTATCGATACGAAGGCATCTCTGCTAACGTAAGCGGAGAATTTATGTTGCTTCGTAGATATTTTGTCATTTTTTATTAAATTTATTTGTACGTTTGAGACTGGCTGACGTTTGTTTTAGTTACATTTTATTAGTTGGCTAGCAAAGTAAGTATCGTACTTACTAAGAAGGAATAATACCTATCTGTGTAAAAGAATTGACTGCCTCGTTGGCCGAGTGGTCGAAAGTGCGAGGGCCGGGCAAGGGGTCTCAGGTTCGGTTCCCGGATCGAGCAAAGTATTTCTGGGTTTAAAAAAAATTCTCAGTAGTAGCACGGAGTCTGGAATTGTGCCCGGTATATGGCAATAGGCTCACCCCCTATTACATGGGACTCATAACATAAATAGTGAAAAGTGGGTGTTACATTGTACAGTGGCATAATGTGCACCTCTGCCTACCCCTTCGGGGATAAAAGGCGTGATGTTATGTTATGTTATGTTATGTAGTGTTATAATTACAATTATAGTAGATGAATTAAATACTTAAGTATACATAAGTAATGTATTTAAGTAACCAGTGGTTGCTACAGACCAATAAAAATGATTTACTTCATAAGTTTATAGCTGTTTCTGCTCTTCGTTTTAAACTGTCAAACACCAAGCGGTCACCGGTGACCGCAACCTATTGTTCTATAATTGTGTCTACAAAACCGGTACTCGACGAGTTAAAATAGATCCCTTGTCATACAATTTATATCAACCTTTCTATATATCGTAGGTATGTCATGTCTGTATAATACGCGTATCAACGTAACTACATCGTTTCAAATATGAGCCAATTTTCTTCCAAGCTATTCGCATAAACCTGATGACTGTACTTACGTCCTTTTCATAGTATGTAAGTATAGTCAGCCAACTTATTTGGTTGCAGGTTAGAACATAAGGATTAATTCAGTACAGAGATAGAAGCTATTGTTAAAAATAATATAAGTGTGGGAGAGCCATGCTTCGTCACGAATGGGCCGGCTCGACCGGAGTGATACCACGGCCTCACAGAAAACCGAAGTGAAGCAACGCCTGCGTTGTGTTTCGTCGTGTGAGTGAGGTTACCGGAGGCCCAATTACCCTCCCCTTCCCCAATCTCCCCAATTCCTGAATCCCCAACGATCGTCAAACTCCTAATCCCCAAAAGGCCGGTAACGCACTTGTAACGCCTCTGGTGCTCCAGGTGATCGTGGGCGACGCCGATTGCTTACCATCAGGTGATCCGTGTGCTCGTTTACCGGCTTATGCCGTAAAAAAAATTGTACCTATGTTTATTAAAGCCATATCTTTTGTAAGCATTGCATTGGTCGCTTCAGTAGCCTATCAATACTCACTGTCTCTACCTCTATAATGAATCAGTCTTTATTTTCTTCCCTGCATATTTAATAACTTGGTATATAGAAAAGTCGTGAGACTCCTCAATATGGGACAAGTAGGTAGGTAATTCTTGTAGACTCGTATTTCGTTATCGCATTTGAATTTAAAATGACGTGGTATGAAGGAAATTTTTGCTCGTTCTAGCTCGACCCAGTGTGCATTTATGTTCTATTAAATGGTACTTTGTTTTTATTGCAATATTTTACCGTATTATTACGTTACTAATTCGTAAAAAGGGATATTTTCAGGAATTTATTCGGATTGACTCGTTGGCCGAGTGGTCGCAAGTGCGACTGCCGGGCAAAGGGTCTCGGGTTTGATTCCCGGGTACGAAAAGGGATACTGGGTTTTAAAAAAAATCTCAGTAGTAGCACGGAGTCTGGAATTGTGCCCGGTATATAGCAATAGGCTCACCCCCTATTACATGGGACTCATAATAGTGAAAAGTGGGTGTTACATTGTACAGTGGCATAATGTACACCTCTGCCTATCCCTTCGGGGTAAAAGGCGTGATGTTATATTCAGTTTCTATGCAGTTTGGCGTAACTTCTTATATGAGAAAATCGGTATAAAAATGAAAGTTTACAGAAGTTTTTTTGTTTTTTAAACGTTGCCCCACATTAGGATTTTCTCCTGTGTCGTGGGTGCGTTTACAAACATACAAGTTCACATACACAGTGACACCCAGACCCGGAACAACAATTTGTGGATCACACAAAGTGTTGTTTC